CAGAGAGCAGAATGTTCAATAAAAACAAACAAACCTATCGGAATGTAGTAAGTGATCGTATTGAAACCGTTCTGAATCGTTTTGCAGAAATGGCACGTTTTTGCGCACTGTGAAGCCAGTCTGCTGATATGTTCAACCTGATTACACTGTTGCTTAAATTGTTCACAGTTGTTAACTGTATCGATGCACTGGCCATTTGTTATCACTGGAAAAGAACGTTACACCGAAATGCTGGAACACTTGAAATGTATATATTTGTAAAACGAGTTTTTCACCAGCTCTAGCCAAACGAAGCAGCACACTGTGTTGGCTCTGCAGAAGCAATAGTGCAAATTCAATTAACTAATAATCAACATTTGTTCAGTGCTTCTAGACAGTAAGGATTTGTGCTATACTCCTATTCATTTTTATCGCCCAAAAGCCAACTGCGGGACAATTTTTTGTTGTCCGTCTAACAATCTTAAAGCAAACAAATAAAGACTTACCGATCGAAGGTATGATTGGGTGGCTGTCGTTACGCTCAGAGCTCGTTGAGCAAAATCCACAGGACACCGGGCATTTCTGCGCCATCATGTTAATGTGTGTCAGGCACTTATCTTTCTCAGCAGCACACTGCATACTATCATCTACGCATACTTTCGGTTCTGCAATCACAATCTGAACATTCCTCAAAAAATTCGCACTGCACATCCAAAAAATTAATTGGAAGATTCAGAAAACAGAAAATGGGCTAAGGGAACAGGATGGGTTTAATGCCAAACACGAAAGAGTGAAGAACGGAGGATTGAATATTAATAGATTTTAATATAGAACACCCCAGATTATTTTTCAGTTCTTTGCAAGTGATGTAAACAGACAGGATCACAGGAAGGGAGACAAATAGGTAAGGCTCCTTGAAAGGAGAAGAGGGCGTAATTCGTAGTGGTGACGACGACGAGCAGGAGCGGCATTCGAGCGGATGAACTGGGGCTTACATCAATTGGTACGGCGTGTTGGAGGGGGCGAACGATCATTGGTTTGGGACTCGGCAAAGATGGGAAGAAGAAAAGAGTGGTCTCGGGTAGATCCGGGATAAAAAG